AAATACAATTGTATTGCACTTTTTGTTCTAGTCTAAAGAAAGCGGCTCTACTTGGGTTAAGTAAAGACCTTCAAAAAGTCATGAGCTCCAATGGTCTAGCACTTGAAGGTCTAACGTTGGTTCGAGAATATCTGACCACTAAACTAGACTTGGCRAGGTTTTTGGTCAACACTACCGATGACAAAGTACCAGAGGCCATGAAGATGATCAAAAGAAAACTTGGRCCAAAGCTCGAAGTTCTTGGTGAGYTGGCRAACAGAGGGTACGACCAATCAGACGYGCGYGTCCAGAAGCTTGTTGAACTCGCTCCCTCCCTCCACGAGCTTGGAAAAGTTGTAAAAAGCACTAAGAAACTACGCGAATTGAAGTTTGACGTYGAAGAGCGAAAGGAGATACACAAYCTTGCAAAAGCGGACAGCTCGGTCGATGGTGGAAACCCTGCTTCCAARARGAAAAAAGAGGAAAGRAAAGAAAAACTTGAAAAAGCGAAGGAGCTGATGAATCAAGCCAAAARACTTGCATCGGAAAATCTTGAAAAAAATCGAAAAGAGCTGGATGAGAAGATCAAAGARATCAAGAAACTGGTTGAGCTTCCATCAGACTGGAATAGCATAGAAAAAGATTTGCCCGAACAAATGCTYGAGAAGCTTAAGAMCAARATTCAAGAACTAGATGAGTTTAAAGAATCTATCCCCAGCTATGACAGTGTAGAAGAAATCGTTGCTAATGCTAGTGGAGGGCTTGCACTGAAAGGAATYTACTTTTCCAAATGGGAAAAGCCCCAAACTTCAAATGTCCCAATCTTGAAGCCACCACAAAAGGTAGAAAGTTGGAACACACAGTCACCTTACGAGACGGGCTTTCGCCAATTTTCAGAAGGACATTCTGCAGAAATGTTTTCCAAAGAAGTCGAAAGTTCTGGCTTTACCCATGCAGACGTTGTWTGTGGATTTTGTCTTACATTCGCAGCAGCAGCGAGCGGTACTTATGGAACCCAAACATCAGACGAAAGTGAGATGTCAGTCAAGACCACCACTACRAGTGTCTCAGCAACGAACTTTTGCCGCTCTGCGATGAAAAGTTTCGCTGTCCCAAGAAGTTGTCTTCACCCCACTGAGCAAGCATGTAATATGGCTTTGAGTATCACAGAAAGAGCAGACGACAAGAAGATAATGAAAGAAGAGATCAGAAGATTTTTCAAAATTTACGGCAGCCATGTACCTTACGGCGTTCACCAGCTTGGAGGGTTATTCTTTACAATGAGTACAGCGACGTCTGAAAAAGAAGTTGATACTACTAAACTAATGCATCTTAACGCTACAAAGTTGACTACGCAGGTGTCTGCTGGTTTCTTTGGTGGTGCGTGGGGAGTTGGAGGAAGTGATATGCACGAGTACAGCTCCTCGAAGGCTTCCAGCGAAGGATCACAAATTGAAAACGAGAGCGTCCATTATGCATTCAGTGTGAAATCCATTGGTCCACACGCAGACAATCCTGCATCTTTTAAGAAGGCTCTTTCCACCAACAATGCCACATGGGCCATATTAGATCGTGGTGACACGGCTATTAATGTTCCTGTATGGGAACTACTACGTGAAGAGGGCCAAAAGTACCATCTCGTTGCAAAACTGATGGAGGAGACATGGATTGAAGACGAAGAAATGARACGAGATCGCAGCGAAGTGAAGAAGACGATGAACAGCCTCTTACGCATGGTATGCAAATCTTAATGTATATCATGTAACTGATGACTTACATCGTCAATAAAAACCACATATGTGAATATGTAGATTTAGAGAAATATTACTTTTTGAGTTCTCATTCAGAGGATACTTGTATTTGTATCTTTTCTTCAYCATGACTTTGAGACATGCATAAATCTTCACAACATTTCCAGCCTCAACCGATAATTGACCATATCATTCTCAGCCACAAGCAATAATTGTCTGTATCATGCTCAGCCTCTACTTTTAATAGTTCTTATCATGCTCAGCCAATTAGTTATTTTTGTTTTGAGTCAGCTTATGAAATCCCATCCTCGGGAACCCAGGGGTAATCTAACATTTGTCATTCGTTCCTGACCAAGGTCTAAATTTTTCTATCTAGACCAAGCAAGCTGGTTAACAAGAGTWCTATTATTTGACCGTTTTCTTTTTGTCGGCTAAAAAGTAATCCAAATATATTTTTTTCTGGGAGTGAGGAACGAACGACAGAAGATTACCTCYCCCGAGGATGATGAAAACCTAAACTTAATAAAAAATTCAGTACGGAGCAGTCCACAACACAACATGTCGATACGTTCATTAAGTAAATGAAATAATCTCTTATTGTTAGGTTGAATCAGGCCGTACCAGTCCCCAAGGATCATTTCCGYTGAAAGCCAAAGTAATAAAGGGTGGTACAATGAAAATGTATACTTCCGCACAAAAGATGAAAGACGCTTTCGCCAAAGCTAGCGATTTTATATGCCAAGACCCTGAGAAYAACGTTTGCGAGGTCCATGAAGATGGACCGCTGTTTATTTTGACGGGATTTAAAGCTGATCCAGTGGTCCAGTATGAACGAACAAGTGATGGCCGCTATCTACTGTACCACGTGGGCTACATAAACCCTGGAAGTAACACCCTTGAGAAAAAACTAATTTGCCCACAAGACTATGTCAAGTTTGCTATTATTAAGCGGTGACCAACAACTGGGCAAATTGCAGATCAAGAGAGTTACAATTTTGTTTTAACAACATTGACATTGACTATCAATTTAAGGGTTTACTGTTTACAAGTAATCACTCGATCATTATATGTTTTACCTTGAATTGTTTTTTTAAATACTGAATTAGACAATAAAATTATATATCTTTCTTATTTATTTTTATTTACTTAACTAGATTATACCAACACCACACCCCCACCCACGCCTTCATTTGTGATTCCTTTCTTTGCGATCTTTGATCCTACTTCTACGATTTGACATCTCGTGTAGTGATTAACATTGATTGGTGTGCAGTTTTCTTCATTGCTAGGAGTCCGTTCATTTTCCCAACACATAAAAAAACAGCGAGGAACGAGCGGACCGCAAAAGTGCGAAATAGCAATACAAGCGTACAAGTAGCTGTAGCGAATTGTTCCGCACGTTCCCTTGCAGGGAATCTCGAGTTTCCCTGTCATTGCCAGAAGACAYGTTTTCTACATTATCAGTTTTGCATTTTTTTCAGTACCAAATTTGTTGTCAATTTGAGTCCAGTTTTATATTCTTTAGTATATACAACTTCAAAATKAATACAAAATTTAGAGAGACAACATATCCATAATTATACATAATTCCAATCCTAAACCTGGAGCTTTGAAACTTTCAACTTGTTTGAAGATTAAGACATCCCTTGGCGCCACGATGGGACGGCTCTATGGGAAAAAATATATATATAAAGCGAAATTGAGCCTCTTTCATGATGACGTCATTTCAAATATTGTTTAGTCATAAGGCTGATCATTATGGCGGATCGATGAAAGTAATATACAATTATAGTATTTTTTGTAGTAATAGTACCGAGAGAAGAAACATACACTTAGAGTTGACCTAGCTATCTTCCTGACAGTACCCCCCTACTTTTGCTTTCGAAGTGACGTAATCTTGCTTCGTCACCAGGCTACACTCTGACACTCAGCTTTTCTCTGGTTGYCAAATATAGCTTGTAGCTGTTTGAATTCAGCGTGCCAAATGCCATGGGACTTCATGGTTGATAAAAGAGAGTAGCCTAGGGACAAGGTTAGATATCTATTGCAGATTTGAACGTTAATATTGCGTTATGCATTTGAGAGATTGTGTTACCTGTGAGGCATGTGTAGCACTTGTCCRCTTCCGCTTTGAGTGTCTTTCCGTCTTTCCTCCCAGCCGCGCGTTAATTTGTACAAACGAGACGGATCTCTCTCAGCCTTCACTTCAACCTGATATTAAAAATCAAGTAATTAAAAATGAAATTATGATAAGATAATATCAACGCGCTAGGAGATTCAATTTTKCGACATAAATAGCGAAAAACATTAAAAAAACGTAACATATTCGCATGTTTTGAGAAAAAAATAAAAATAAAAATATAATAATTTATACCTTGAAACACGAAAGTTATTTTTCTTTATTTTTCACGCTAAAAAATGTGTGCAAGGATACACTGCGTAATTTTTTYCCCRCAAAAATCCTAAATTGKAATGCGAGTAYAGATAACAAATCTAGKCCTTGTATTGGATCAAATCGATTAGAAAAGGTTCGTTACAACAACCTTCAGATACATGTACCTGACTTTTGAGTTTTTCTAGACGTTTTTGTTTTTCGTGAATTTCTTCTTCGCGAGCTTTTATTTTAGACTTCTTTTCCTGYAACATCTTTGAATTCTAGAAAAAAAGAATTAATCACATTTACCCTTCTCCGTAGTGAACCACTTGCGCGGTATTCTTGCATAATAGTTACCCTTTCTCGTATTCTCGCCAGTTCGCTGGCGGATAATTGATTTTCTAAACGTAGTTGTTCCTGACGTGCGTCATGAGCCTCTTTCAAAATTTCTTCTTCTTCTGCGCGTCGTCGCGTGTATTCTTCGACTTGTGCCTTCAGAGCAAGCTTGAATCGAGATAAAAACGCGTTAGGTCGGTTTCGTTTCGTTTTGTGTCGTTTCGTTTCGTTTCGTTTCGCGTTGTTTCGTTGTTGTTTTGCTTTTTTTTAATGACTTGAAATGCCCATTTATTGAGAAACTCAATCGTACCCTTCTTCTTTCCTCTTTTTCTCGTTCTTCTCTTTTTTTCTGTTCTTCCATCTGTTTCAGTTCTTCTCTCCGCGCTTTCTCTTGTTCCTTTTGTTCCTAAATTATACATACAATCAAAATAATTGCTTGCTAGTGTTGAATGTAACGACTTGGCTAAGATGCCAAGAAAGTAGTAACAAAGACAAAAACAACAAATAGCTGGACGTTTCCGCTCTAAAGGTCCATTTTTCAACGTCGTACAAGTGACGGATCCAGTAGATCACAAGGGAAGGTAACCAAAAGATATATATTCAATGTTTTGTTGTTGTTGTTGTTGATGATGTCGACGTGCAGCCTTACTTTGTAGCCTTTAAGCCTTGCAAGTCGCTCGCTTCTCTCTCTTTCAAGTCTTTCATTCTTCTTTAGAATCCCTTCTTCGTCTTCATCGTCGTCTTCTGTTGTTTTGACCATCAAATCTTCTTTCTCRGCCTGCGATTGAACAGAACAATTCTAAATTGATTCATTCGAGGCACATGAGATTCATCTATTTATACTWATGAACGTGCAAACACTCAAACAAAGAATGGAAACGAGGTCAATACTGTCTTTTTAATCTGYCTCGTGATCATCTCAGAGGTTTTTCTTCGTTTATAGTGGTGCAGTTTGAGATACTAGGCCGTTTCACACAAATATTATGGGCGCTTGTAGAGGGGCAGTTCCATGTGCCTATCTGCCCTATCACGCAAACCTAAGCCCCTTGGCGCCTTTATAAGGCAAATTCACCGTTTACGCTATGAATCATCAGTTTTCTACACGGCAAGCATGTAAACCAGTAGTTTTACTCACTATATTCAATATATATTGTATTATATACTAATTTCTCATCCAAACATAAAGCAAGCTTCGGAACACTGCCCAAAAGTTTTCAGACGCGCGCGGCCATCTCAGAAATCCCCTATGCTCTACCTCTTTGTGTTGTCTCCATTCCAGTATCGCTTTCCTTTTGCTTTCTTTTAAATCCATATATTCCAGGAACCAGTCGTGATGCTGCCGTACTTCGTCTGGACTCTTACCTGGTATTGACTGTCCTGCGACATTTAGGAAAGCTTCCTTGTTCTAAAACACAAAATAATCGACCAATATATTAAGGAAGCGAGTTAGCATAGCCAATTTTTGTGCTGTGAACTTCCATGTACAGTCAACTCTCGCCATTACGGACACCCTCGGGACCATAATKTAGTGTCCGCAGTAGCGAGAGTCTGTAGTAACGAGAGTTACTTTCAGTCATATCTTTGTATTTTTCGCCGGGGAATCAGTATTTTATTGTCCATAATATCGAGGTGTCCGTTGTAGCGGGGTGTCCGTGAGGCGAGAGTTCATGTATGTGAAAGAGACATCTATGATAATACATGTATTTCTGCAATAGCCTAGAGGTACCTTGTGTTTGGCCTTTAGCTTCAAGAACAGTTGATGGTCATAATCGTCCCATCCTCCTTGATGACCACCAGTTTGAAGAACAAATTTCTAAACAATCAAAGAATGAAAGAAAGAATGATATTATAAATTTTTACTGTATCAGAATTTCATGGTCGCTCTATGTAAAAGAATCTGGAAAATCTCAGATTCTCAGAATTACGGAATTTTTTGAAAACCTTCAAAGATGTTATTTGCTATTTAATTTTACCTCAAATGCTGCAACTGCAGGAGGCATGGATGTCGCCACAACAGCATTTGCTGCTTTCTTGTTGGTTACAGCAGCAGTTGTGGGTGCTGGCAGCTGTGACCAGGATTCAAATTTTTTCTCAAGTGATTTAATCTCTTGTTGTGTTGTCCTTTCACCATGTATTAAATCATCATAACTTAAAAAATAATTAATAAAAATGTCAATTATTTGAAGAAATTCTCAGTCAACATTTTCATACCTTTGTATACAGGGTATCTAATACTTCAAGATTAACCCTTTAATTTGCTGTTAGACTTCGCATTATGATTTAATAACACTTTATAATTAATAACACTTTATAGTTAACTATTTGTACCAAACATTTGGTCGATTTGCATTCATAGTGAGAAAAAGTCACATGCCATTACCCATAGTGCACCATTACCCATAATGCACCATTACCCATAATGCACCATTATCCATAATGCACCATTACCCATAATGCACCATTAACCATAATGCACCATTAACCATAATGCACCATTATCCATAATGCAATTGATTTAACATCAGAATTTTTGCTAATGACGAATGTACATAATATGTATAAATCCAATCATCTAAAATGCATGATGTATATTCTTACATTTTTCTTTGTTGTTCTTTGAAGACCATAATACAATTTTCAATATCTTCCATCATTTCTTTCAATTTTTGTACAACTGCATACATTCACAATAAAGATAAAATATTATTTTTTGGCTTAGGCTTACCCATAATGCACCATTATCCATAATGCAATTGATTTAACATCAGAATTTTTGCTAATGACGAATGTACATAATATGCATAAATCCAATAATCTAAAATGCATGGTGTATATTCTTACATTTTTCTTTGTTGTTCTTTGAAGACCATAATACAATTTTCAATATCTTCCATCATTTCTTTCAATTTTTGTACAACTGCATACATTCACAATAAAGATAAAATATTATTTTTTGGCTTAGGCTGAATGTCATACATGTAGTTARGAAATATGCACACAAAGGACTGGTTAACATTGGTACGATTGTTGCWWGCGGCTTGTAGTATACAATTTTACTGCGACAAGTAATAGGATTTGGAGCCATGATGRTTTTAAGGGCATTTTCACAGCAAGACTTGGGGCTTTATTGAGTCTTATMAGTACATTCAAGTCATACACAACAATGCATCATTTAAATCTGTCTTTAGTTTCARYGCAGACAACAGCTTYYAAGTTTATGCACCATAAATAAGTTTGATAAAAATAAATACTCACAGGCCGGTGTTGGTTTGACATCAACAAGCTCTCTCTGAAACTTGTCAACATTGATTTTTATCTTGRTTAACTGCTGCTTGATAGTTTGTTCTATTRTGAAYGAAAAACATGACCTCATATCARCAACAGACTAAATGAACAGTCTGAATCTGTATATTTGAGCAGCGATTTTGTGTGACACAGTGAGCCCTCAAGAAGAATATCCCTGACTGCCTAGGAATTAAACTAAAGGAACTTTGGTCTGCAAGTACAGTASTATCCAGKCTCTARTAGCCTGCRTYCAACCGAACCAAAACTGTTGGTTTGGCTGCACACAAGCTACAATCGTTGCCAAAATACCTTGGACCGTACAATTATATGTCTCCAGCCTACCATTTTTCTCCATTATTTTTTCACAATTTTCCCCYTTAGCCACCTTTYATCAATGTTGGGTCTTTTTTTGGATGCTTGTGTACTATGGTAACATGATCAWTGACAACATTGCATTTAGGGGGTCAGGGGGGATGAAATKGTCTGCGGGTGTTGCTTTAAATGAGGAAATTCGCTGGAATGGTCCAAGAATTTTGTCAAYRATTGTAGCCTCTAGCAGAGTTGACAAGACTTTGGGCTTCCTGTGGCAGAGAAATAATGAGAGGGAGGGGTACAGGTAACAACTGKGAGTAGAGACTAGGTGCAGCACAGAAGAGTCAATCTTTAATTTGCAAGTCATAAAAAACATGTTATGTTATGTTATTCTAAGTGTAACTTACTTTCCGTCATTCTTTCAGATGTTGTCTTCACTTCAGATTCTTCTAAGCTGGAATATTCTTTTCTAAAATCACTACGTCGACTGAACATCATTGTATTTCTTTCCTTTTCTAAAGCAATATATCTAGCAAAAATAACGAACAAATCGAGAAAAGCTTACAGTACATCCTTCCTTTCTTTAAATCAACTTTCTTCTATATAGACACATGCGTACTGCAAACTTATTTCTAAGGTTATTTCATTCAATTATCATATCATACATTGAATAAACTGCATTTTCTGAATAATATTTCGTTCGTTTCAACTTACTCTCGTTCGAGTGAATCCAGTTTGTCAAAAAAATCATTTTTCTTTCGACCTAGTTTTGGGACTTGTTGTCGCTCTTGTTTCACATTCCTCGGTCCTTCTTGAACAGGAGACGTATCACCAAATTTAGAAGCCATTATGAGTAATTATTTGAGCATTTCGTTAAAGAAAACTTAAAAGTTTATAAACAATACGAAAGTCGCGATGTCGACCGCCATTTTATTTTCGTGATTAATAACATGAGGGTTTAACGTAAGGTGATCAGCGGTTTTGCCCATTAATTTTCTGCTTTACCGGCAAACAAAATGGTGAGAAACTCGTTCAATTATTTGACTTTTTTAACTACTTTCAAATACTTCTATGAAGATCAATTCTCTTATTTATCTTTTTTGGCTATTAATCTAGACATTGATCACAAAAAATCTTGCGTTTGTTTCTGAGTTTGAATATTTTTTGCGATTTTTTCCATGTGACATTTGCTGAGTCATTTTTCTCGATAAAAAAGGATTTCTTGCTTCAATTTTAACGTGTTTTGTCTCATTTATAGTTTCGTAATCAGTACGATAATGATGTTACTGTATGGAGTCCTCAGGTAAGCATTTAGTGAGAAACTTTTTGGCGCCATCTCTTGTGCGTCCATAGACTTCCGCTGGATTTTTTTTCATGCATGGTCCATATAAGCTTATACATACATGTGCAAACTCTCAGACTGCCAGAAAGTGTTCAAAAACTTCTTTGTTATAATTTTGTCTTGTGTTAATTTAATGTCCTGAATAAATGAATTGCTTTTAAACGTTTATAAAGGTTTTTAAGGTGTGTAGTCTTTTGTACAATGCCAAAAAAATTGACTGATGAACAAGAGAATATGATATTAATTAACGATCCCATGTTGACTTCCAGGGCCGAATCCATCAAATTGAATATGCTATGGAGGCTGTCAAACAGGTAAAGAGGATGATTTGTATTATTTATTTGCTTAAGTTAGTCAATGTAGTCACTAAAATAAGCATGTAGGGCAAAATATCAATGAGGAGATATCCCTGCATTGTTCTTTAATAAAAGYCTTCTCTGTGACRTTTTTGAAAAAATCCAGAAWCAACAAAAATCTTGGAAAGCTAAAATCTTGGACTCTACAAATGAAGCGTAACTATAGTAACTCATCCTTGTTATGTTTGTAATTTTTACTCTTAATGAACCCTTATTCTCTTGCTTTCTTTCCTAGAAGTCTGATTATCATATAATGGATGCAGTGATTTAATGAATCAAATKTTATTTTGTTTAAAGGGCTCAGCTACGGTGGCCTTGAAGTCCAAGAGTCATGCAGTTCTAGTTGCCCTCAAGGTATAGATTGTGTWATGYTGAATATSTTGTCAGTGTAAAAAGAAAAATTTAACACCGTAACCAAGTTGGTGAAACATCTTTCTGGCGTTTCGGAYCTTAATTCTTTCTCGGAGTAAAGAAATGCTGAATATATTTAAAAAATATTTGAATAGATCTTTATTTAATCTTTTTTGTTTTGTTTTTTTCATATACAGCGAGCTCCTTCAGAGTTATCAGCTCATCAGAAGAAAATCCTTCCAGTTGACAGTCACGTTGGTATTTCAATAGCRGGTCTCACTGCAGATGCCAGACTGTTAAGGTATACCAAGTAAACCCACAATGCAATGCTTCAATAAATAAATACACAGGGATCCCATGTATTAGTGGGACTATTGAATGAATGAATGGAAGAAAAATTACAAAGAGAAAAAAAGGATTGGTGAAATGGTAACTACCTAGTAGAAAAGTGAAAAAGGAATGAAAATATGAAATAAGTAAATGAGATAAAAGAAAAGGAATCTTTAAAAGAAATGTACTTACATTACTGTAAAGAAAAGCGATTTCAAATGGAATAATAATTGAACACAAGGAAGATTATTGGGCAGGTGAAAGCTCAAAGAAAAMGTTGTCCATTCACTTACCATGCTTAAGATGGCTACATTACCTATAACAGCTAGTACATCTGAGTATTTTATTGTGTGTATAACACCTATTATTTATTTTCCAGTAAGTTCATGCGTAGCGAATGCCTCAATTCAAAGTATGCATACAACACAAGACTTCCAGTTTCCAGACTYGTCAGTGCTGTTGGTGACAAAATGCAGATTCCAACTCAGAGATATGGCAGACGTCCCTATGGTGTTGGTCTTCTTGTAGTTGGTTATGATGAGATGGGTACCCATATATTCCAGACATGTCCTTCTGCCAATTACTTTGACTGTAAGGCCATGGCTATTGGAGCACGCTCACAGTCTGCAAGAACATACCTAGAGAAACACCTTGATGCCTTTGTGGATTGTAAGTCAACATTGCAGTGTTTAAAGAATCCCAAACAACCACAATACAGTGCATGCTCATAGTATTGTTTATATACATTTAAATGTGTCAAGTATACAATTGATTATTGATTGATAGTACTTGTGAGGTACTTAGTTTAAGGTATTTCTGTCCAAACTGAAAGGGATGGAAGATGAATTGTGCTCACTTTAAGAAATCCTCACTAATCCACCATTTTTATGTCGATCTAAATTGGCACTTAGGCTTGCAAGGTATTGCAGTTGGTTGTGATTCTTTAGTCAGTGAAAACAGCACATGTGTAAAGATTGATCTTTGTAGACTATTAAACTGAGACATACAATACTTAGTTTGAAAAGAATTGAATTATGTATGCAGCCTTTTTTGACAATGTAAAGATAAAGAGTTTCTCTTCTTCTATCTTAAGGTGAGCCAGAAGAATTGATAAAACATGGTCTTTTGGCCCTGAGAGAAACTTTACCTAATRAACAAGAACTTACAACTAAGGTAGGAGTCTATATTACTATGACTGTAAGACTCTTGCAAGTGGCATTAAAGTTCAATACTGTACAGTAGGCATTGTTTAGGGAAACATGAAAAAATGTCACAGCAGTCCTGCTGTATGAATGTTGTTACGCCTTTTGTATGCTAAAACAGCATTATTATTTGTAAGTAAGAAAGAGACACTAAGCTAGGGATATGAGCAGAGGAGGGTTTTTTTCTTATATTTTTTTGCAGTGTGCAAAGCTATACAGTCACATGTCTTTTTATGTGTAAGTTTTCTAGTTAGTCATGATGTTAAAAAATCAAACCTTTTCATTTCAGAACTGTTCAATTGGTTTAGTTGGACTCAATCAGGATTTTGTAACCTATGATGACGATGCCGTAGCACCATTTGTATCCTTTCTTTGATTTAACCAATTAAACAAGCTTTC